AGACCCTCAAGAATGAGGGAAAAAACAGAGCTGCAGATTTTCCAAATTCTTCCCGGGCACTTCCATCTGCCTTGGCTTTTCAAAGTGCATTTAGCCAGGTTTGGACAGGAGCCAGGATCTCAGAATGAGGCTGAAGAAGCACACGAGGTAGGCAAGGCGGATGCAGGCAGCAGGGGCAGGATGGGGCAGGAGTCAGAGCGAGGCGGCCTGGGGAGTCTGCACAGGAGCAGTGTGTGTGTGTCGGGGGGCACGGCAAGATGGCTGGAGGGGAGAAGCCTAAGGAGCCGAGAACAGGAAGCCGCATTGGCAGGTGGAGAGCCCAGAGACTCAGCCTGGTCCTGCAAGGCTCACTCATCCCCTTCATGCACCAACCCGAGGCGAGAGCTTCCATGACCTGGGGCTTCGGGAGGATGCACGCGCAGCACGCCACTGCAGAGGGCCAGGGTTGGAGAAGCGAGAGAGGGAGCCTGGTGCTGCACGGCTTTGGCTTTCTAAGGCCGTTTAAAGAAGCGAGGGTTGGGGTTCTTCTTAATTCCTCCTTTGGTACCCATTTTTGGGTGTTCTCTTTGGAGTTCCACTACGATGAGAAGCCCACCCACCCTAGTTTATCTCCTTCTTATTATTACTTGCGCTTTCCTCACTTTTCCTTTTCTACCTTTTTTTTTTTTTTTTAATGGACGCATACTATTTGGACCTACTTCGAGGTGACAGTGTGATAACTCCGTGCGTGTTTGCCACGTGCAGTGATCACACCACTCCTTATCATTTAGCATTCCTCTGTGTTTGGAGGCCTGGGCTCCTCTCTCCCCGTTCTTCATTAAACAGATCAAAGTTGGTTGTCAGTTATAGTCACTCTACTGTACTGTGGAAAACTTGGACTTATTCCGCCCATGGAACCACATTTGGGTGCCCGTCATCCAACCTCTCTCCCCACCCCCGCATCCCAGTCTTTACTAATCATTATTCCACTGTCTTCTTTGAAATCAACATTTTTAGCTTCCCCACATTTAAGTGAGAACACACGGTACTTGTCTATGCATCTGGCTTATTTCGCTTAGCACCAAGTCCTCCACTGTCACCTGTTTACCACAAATGACAGGATCCCATTCTTTTTTATGGCCAAATACTATTCTAGTGTGTATATATACCTTACTTTCTTTATCCATTTCTTGTTCACATATCTTGTCCTTTTTTTTTTAAAGTTTAATTTTTTTTTCATCAAAACTATACATGAACAGAAAGAATCAACAGTTCTACATGTCTCCTTTTTTTTTTAAGAGAGAGAGAGAATTTTTTAATATTTATTTTTTAGTTATCAGCAGACACAACATCTTTGATTGTATGGGTGCTGAGGATAGAACCCGGGCCGCATGCATGCCAGGTGAGCGCGCGATACTGCTTGAGCCACATCCCCAGCCCGGCTCCTTTCTTTTTTAATTTATTTTTTAAATTCTCTCTCTCTTTTTTTTTTTTTTTTTTTTTTAGTGGTAGTCGAACACGATACCTTTATTTTATCCGTTTATTTTCATGTGGTGCTGAGGATCGAACCCAGCGCCTCACACATGCTAGGCGAGTGCTCTACCTCGGAGCCACCACCCCAGCCCGGCTCCTTTCTTTTTAACGGATACATAATAATATTAATATATTAATGGGATACCATGTGACATTTTGACGTGTGGATACACTGCACAAGGCTTAAGTCAGGTTAGACACGTCGATCTCTCAAATATCTATAACGCTTTCATGGTGACATCAGTCAATGTCCTTTCTTGCAGCTTTTCAGGATACAATGCACATGATTTTTACACAGGTGTCAGGACTAAGCCCATGGTGGTAACATTTGCCCCTTTTCTTTTCTTTCTTTTTTTTTTTTTTGTCTCAAGAGTCAACCATTTTCAATTATTGTATCTATTTCTTTTGGCAACCACCTCCTTGTCTCTAAATAACATGCTTCGTCCTGTGTCTGGCTTATTTTTCTTCTGTTGTGGCACTTTCCCTTGAGTTTCCACCCAAAACTCGAGGGTTGACTTATTTCTTGACAATCCCCACTAACTACGCATCTGCAAAAGGAAATCTCACGATCCTCCCAATTGTGTCCCGTCTCCGTTTTTGTGTGACGCCACTCAGCATCAGCACACGGTGCCTGTGCGCACTGAGCCCCGAGGTGTACACAGCGGTCAGCTTTCCATGTTCTGCACGTCCTATTTCCCCAAAGCGATTACTTCCAGCTTCCTGGTCCCCGTGGACCTCACAACAGCTCACACCCCACCTCCTCCTCCTGCTCTTCCCCTGGCTCTTCCTCCATTCGACGGCGCCAACACACCTGGGCTTCTCTAGAC